TGCATATCGACGTTTAACTACCAATACCTCCTAATTGACATAAAATATTTACAGTTTTTTTTTTTATTTACGTACCTACTTTTGTATGTTGCATTAGGAAATCATGTTTTCTTCTGTATATCGAGAAATTATCTTAAAATCAACTACTTTGCTTTTGGTTTCATTGTAATTGGAATGAATTCAGAATTAGGTGATATTGACAGTAAGCGACGTTATCTTAATTTATTGAGACGAGTAACATCAAAGGAATAGACGAGTGGTACAATAATTACATGTATATTACCTGTAATTTCCACAGTGCTATAATTGTTATGTCTGAGGTTCTGTTCACGTTACCACTCACAGATGATTGATCGGTTTGTTTACCACATATAAAGCAATTTTTCAGGTTTCAATACGTTTTCTTCTTTTGCACCAGAGAAAATAACTACTTAGTAAGTATTTTTGTTTTCCTAATAGTCGTGACAAGATCGTCAAAGGTTATAAAATAAATACGCAGAAATACATTCTAGTTCCTTTTCTTTAAATTTTTTTATATCATGTAATTTATGGTTATAAATACGGGATGTATAACTCAATCAGCACTTGGGATCATAGACAAACGTTTAAAATAGTTGTCTATTATAAAATAATGGCAGGTGCGTTCTTTTTAGTTCTGTCATCGCATAAACAATGTCTTCCTGTTTAGTTTTTAGGGTTCCATTACACGATGTTCCATTAAAAGATGTAAAACAATTCTCAACTATATCCGCAAATCGTAAATACAAATAAATATCGTTAATAAAACGTTTTATCGTCTCAATATTTTGAGAGTTTAATAATATCTCGAGTAGAGTGAAATGTTGGATATTTTTAACGACTTAAAAAATATTTGTAGCAACATTAAATTTAGCATCTTTAAACGACTTCCAAATGAAGTAGGTTCAAAATTTATCTGTATTTTTGTTCATATTACGTGATTAAATCGCTAATTCTGAATTGATTTTAATATTATTTTTGTATTTAATAAGATTAATACCAGTGGTTGGTCCCATATAAATTTTGTAATGTTTGAATCTGCCGTATTTCTTTGCGAAGTATTTTTTTATGTGAAAAGGCGACAAACGAGCATGCGGTTCACATGACGGCAAACGATCGCTATTTAATGGTTGCAGCGAATCAAAATCTACTTCTAGACACATGATATTGCGGTTTAAATTCACATATTTTCAATGTAATACGTCTACATATCATCATGCTGTTCATTAGATGTTCATGTATGTATGTGTGTATATCCACAATTGAAGTATTTTTTGTAAAAAAAAATATATTTGACATAATTTATGAACAATCTTAGCATGATTGAAATAAAAATAGCTAATTAAAAAAAAAAACTAGTAGTTACTGATTATTAATAAATTAAATACCGTGTGATTCCGGCATACAATAGGCCACCCCTTTTTCGTGGGCGTCGTAAGGGGCGACTAAGGGAGAGCAAAGGATGGGCAGCATTCCTTTTAAAACATCTCTAAAGCATGACTGCAGTTGCTAGTTCGCATGCCGAGCATGGCAACTACTAGCAAAACCCCCCAAGGGGGAGGCTTATGTTCAGCAGTGAACAGTTAAAGGCTGATAAGATGTTGAATAAATTAAATAAGTCATACTAAGTTTGTTGAGTAATTATGCCAAGTATAAAAATTACGACTTTTTCTAAATTTTGTTTTATTGATTAATAACTAATAATACTAAATTATAACATTTTGTTTTTATTTTTATTTGTAACCCAAATATCGAAACAATCCCGGAATCTCGGGAAACACTAAGTACTTATAATTCCGAAATCCCAGGATTACAAATAAGAGACGAGGTTGAATTCCCTGTTTTGTAATAATAATGTAATATTAAAACGGAATCGACGAAAGTGAAACATGTTTACCTTTTACCCTTGTAAAACATTTAAATGATAAATAGCGACACGCGTGTACCTATAAAGATAGGAGATGTTATAGCACAAACTATTTGTCGAGAGGGATTTGAAATATTTAAATTAAGGAGTGTGCACGTAACTTTAATAGAAATCATCTCTCCGATGCCATAATAATGCATCTGGTTCATATAATTATTATTTGTAAATTCGAATTTCAGTCAATTCCCAAGACAGAAAATTGTTCAAAAGTTACCTACAAATTTCGACCCAAACGTAAACATACTAATAAATATGTTATGTCATTATCATTAAAAAAATAAAATACTTTATTAATTGATAATATAATTTTAATGAAATATTATAATGGTATATCGTAAGGTAGAACAGAAGGAACTTCTGTGAATTGCTAATTCGGTTTGGAGTAGATTGAAGTATTGAGGTGTGCTCAACCGGGCGCGAACGGGTTCGTTCCAATGTGTACTGAACGCAATTGAATTTAATGTTACAGCCAAATAAAATTGTAAAAAAGTGATGACAAAGGGAAATGACTGTAATATACTCAACAGTTAAGCACGTAATTCAAAATTTAAATTTAGGATATCGACGCCCTTAAACATTTTTTACGAACTAAGTATCTGGCATTATAATTGTACCGCAGTTATCAAATATTAGATTCCCTTAGTTTTTTCTTAGGTTAATTCGCTACGCAATATCTTTATTAATTTAAAATAGATTTAGTTCCGGTTAAAGTCGTTGTTCCTTGTTTTTTTGGTGGCGGTAAATTCTACTATCGTAAATTATTATATCGGAACAAAACATACATAATACATTGAAAGTCACCTATAATAAAAATAAAAAAGGGAAGTTATCGTTGTTGTCTCGGTTGTCTAATTCACTTTCGTAAAATTTATTTCCACTACCAATATTCTATCGACTATTGCTACGTCTCAAGTTACGTATACAGTACCACTCTTAATACTTCTCCAGGCAATACCGGTTTTACTTTTTTTTTGTTTGAAATTGTATTATTTTATTTCTGACGCATCAGCGCCGATTCACTGATTACAAGCTAAGAGCGGTTGCCATGACCGAAATCATTCGAATGGAATAAAAAAAAAAAAAGTCATTTACCATAACCTTAAATGAACCATTTTAGAAAATAAAACTTAAATTTTGCGTTAAAAAATCAATTGTTAATATATATATTAATATGTAGGTACCTACATAATGTGCTAGGTACGTAAGTTTTTTTAGAAATATTCGTATATAAGTAGTAAGCCAAATAAATATTTACTGTATGTATCTTATTTTAGATATAAAATTTAAAATTCATAGTCCTCTGTTCCGAGTATTCAGCACAATAAATACAAAAACGATTAATTTTCTATTTGTATTGTTTATATATATAATATTCCGTGTGGTTCCGACATATAATGGGCCACCATTTCCCGTAGGTGTCGTAAGAGGTGACTAAGAGAACTTAATGGTCGAGAGATGGACAGCAGCGTCTATTTTAAAACATCACTAAAGCCTAACTTCGGTTGCCAACCCGCCTGCCAAGCGCGCCAACTATAACCAAAACCTTGTTCATGGGAGAGGTCTATGTACAGCAGTAGACTGTGGCAATGGACAGTTAGTGGCTGATATAATAAATAATAATTGTTTCTATAAATAGACCTATTCCAAAACCTTTAAAGACAAAATTTGGCCTGACTGTTCTATTAGATCATCCAGGCGATACTTTGACTTTACTAATTACTAGCGACCCGCCCTGACTTCGCGCGGGATTTTTGTAGATACTAATGTGGTGTTAATTTGATGGTGATGTCTATACAACAGGATGCTTTTATATACAATGTTTACAGCTATTTTTTTATGAAACAATACAAACATGTTTTTTAAAAGAGAGATAACTTTCGAAAGTGCCGGCACGGATCGCTGTTTTGTCGCGCGATAGCTTTTATTTTACGATATTTCATAGGATATTAATTAAAATTTTGTGGAATAAATTATTATGCAGTATTTAAACTGCTTAAGGTAACTAAAGTATTTAATTCAATAATGACAAGTATCGTATCCATCTAAATAGCTTATTAAACTCTACATAATTTGTATAATATTTTTTAAACTTTTAAATTATTATAGAAAGCTATCCATATAATACAGACATATATCATCTGATTTCTTTGTAGCCCTAATAAAGAGGTACACTTTTATCATATATTATTTTATTATATTTCAAAACAATAAATTTTCGATAAAGCCTCTCAGTAGGCTTGATTTCTTCCGACATCTTGAACAATTGTGGTCATATCTCAACAAATTGAAACATAACAATATTAAACTATACATATAAACCTTCCACTTAAATCATTCTTTTCTATTGATGAAAACCTTATTCAAATCCGTTGCGCAATTTAAGAGATCTAAGCGTACAGACGGTGGGCAGCGACTTTGTTTTATGCTTCGTAGAGATGAGTAAGAACAAAATTGTCCCGCGCCAGTTTGGTAATAGCTTTCTAACGGCCCGTAGGCACTGAATCAAAGTTTGAAATTCGTAGTGATAGATGTTTTGTATCTGAAATATAATTTCTGTTGGTATATCCATACCAATATTAATATACGAAATTCAATCAATTACGTTCTCATAACACTCTAAGAAATAGAAACGTTTATACCTTTAAAAAAAGCAACAAACGCCCAAACTTTTTTGTAAAATTCCATATTCAAAAGATATTTTTTTTATACTCTTTTTTAATACTCTTGGAAAATTTTAATAAATGGTAATTACAAATTGTTTTAAATTCTTCACTGTATTCACTCAAATGGGCCTTCATAGACAAAATATACTGGACTTAAACGAAATGGTACCTGTGGTCACGACTGTATTGTGTAATTGGGTAATCAGAGGCATTTATCGACTGTGGCTATTATGATACTTAACATGCGACATACTGATTTTGATAACCATTAATATTAAATTCCAACGTTCGGAGGGCAAGTGTAACACCTATATTTCTAATATTTTCTGGTTTTCCTGTTAGGTATAAAATTAAATGCATAATTTATTAACTAAAAAAAAATCTTAACTTACCTGTCACCATAGTAGCCATTAACAATCCAAAAAGCGCGGGAAACACTGCCATCATGTTTGTTCCACTTTCAAAAAATATTATTCTAAACACACACACTACCAACTTGATAGAAACACTCGCATCTAGGCGATGCGTTCAAAACGACCACTTTTTTCCCTCCAAAAAAACCTCAACCGGTTCCCGACTGGACACTCTATTCGTCCTGTTCTAACACCAGTTGCTCAGCAGCTATCCCGTTCTGTAACAAAAAAGGAACTATGTTAGATGGTTTTCTTATTATTATTTTATAAGGGCAAGGTGTGTAGGATTATTCAAAAATTACGTAATTTGATGTGGCCAGTTTATATTGAACTTCGAAGAGGATTTTATAAACGTTTCTTGTTATCTAACAGTACAGTGCGAGGGGGGAATAGTAGATCATCGACAATTGGCCTCTTTATGAAAGATGAACGCATAAATTTCTCTGAGGGCAATATTTTTTATCCGACGAGCCCAAGGAACCGTTGTACATAATTCCAAATTGTTGGTATCAAATTAAATTGTTCTTTAAACTTATTAAGTACGTTTGAGATCGTTTCTTTAGTCGGCGTGTTTTCGTTTTAGAATACGAGTACATAATAATTACTTATCGTGAACATTATTTTCATGGAAAAATAAGTAGGTAGTCGTTAGGTATAACCGAACCGATACGACAACATAACCTTCAAGAAAGAAAGAGTATATTCCTTTTTAAAAGGCCGGCAGCACACCTGCAATGCCGCTGGTGTTGTGGGTGAACATGGGCGGCAATAGTCACTTACCATCAGGTGAGCCGCATGCTCGTTTGCCCCTGTGTTGTAAAAAAAAATGGTATTCACCTAATATCCCGTGATTATTTTCTAGGTTGTTTTTATTTTAACATTATTAAGAAGCAATCTGCTATATATTAATTGTAAATTGTAAAGAATGAAGAGGTTTTTGTTTTTAATGGACGAATGAATGGTAACCCCGCCTGCGCTATCGATGCACGCTAGCGGAGCACTAATATATTAATAGGTAAGGATGAAAGCAGGTCATTTAGTTCATCGTGATGAATTCCATAAGAATTAATCACAATGGTTTTTAGGAAGAACCGCCTACACGCGGTTAGACCTGATAGAGTATTTTGCTAGCAATGCAGTTGTTACATCTCATTATAGAAAATCCCTTTCCCCCAAGTCACGACATTGTAGATCGCCTTTGCCTCGGTAAAATATATTACCGTGTGATCCTGACGTAGAATGAGCCACTCCTTCCTTTCCCAAAGATGTCGTAAGAACCAACTAAGGGAAATTAATAGGTCGAGGGATAGGCAGCAGTCCCTCTTAAAATATAATCAAAAGTTAACTATGGTTGCTAACTCGCCTGCCAAGCGTGGCAACTACTGGTACCCCTCCCCCCTTTATGGGGGCATAGGCAACATAGGCCTCTATTCAGCTGGTGACAGTTAACAGCTGATATTATGATGATTACAATATGTTCAGCGACAAGTGAGCATATCCACGGATTTTTTAATGGCTGACAATAAAAATATGACCCCGCCTGGCGCTATTGAAAACTTCAACTGGTGAAAACTTCACTGGCGGGGCACCAAGGTGGCGAGGAATGACAGATGAGTTGACCCATCGTGACTAGTTTAACAATTATTAGCCACGATGATTTTAAAAGGGAACTGCGTGGAGCTCTAAATGAAACTTGCCCTATTGCTAGCAATGGAGCAGTTAGATCCTCTTATTAACAATCCCTTTCCCCCTATCCAAGGATAGATATTATAATTATGAGTACATTTATTTATTTATTTTATCAAAATAATATTAATTTTATTGTTACCATAGAAAATAATAGATAAAATATGCGGCATCGCAACACGCCAACGAGCTTGCGATATGAACTCGTCACTTCTATAGACAAAGGCGGGTCTCAATAAAACTCGTTAAACTTGTGCTAAAGTTGAATCAATTTCACGAATACAAACCATCGTCTCTCTCCAGTGAACACAATGAGTTATAATTACAAGCTAATAAATATTTGCTTTGAGTTAATACGAATTAAGATGTATACAGGCTGTCACAGAAAGGATGTATTAATTCCAAATTCAGATAGGTATTTTAATTATTAATACCAACGAAAAATAAAGACAGAATACAGTTTAGGTTTATAATTTATGAAATAATAATAAAAAAAACATTATATTCATAATTGTAACAAACTCAGCACTGAAATTACTGTATAAATACCTAAATTAATTTGTACATTTGGATCAGCTTAAACATTTGTATTTGAATAGGTTATTAATAAAATATTATACTTCTAATAATATATTTAAAATCAGTACCGCGGAGTACTTCAAAACATGCTTTGATTATGTTCCAAAGAGAGAATTGCATGTGATTTATTGGCAAGTCAGTTTTAAATAATGTTTAAAATTGTTCCTAAATACTCTTTTCAAACACCATGTGTAAGAGCAAAATATTGTTTTCAAAATTTAATTGTAAATTTAGTTATGAAATTCCTGTAAACGTTAGTTTCTATTGTTGTGACATATTTACGATACAGAAATAGATGATGAAACGAGGGAAGGATGGAAAAGAAGATAGGTAACTTTTTTTTTTATACAACTTAGAATGGCAAACAAGCTAACGGTCCACCTGATGGAAAGTGGTAATCGTCGCCTATAGACATGAGCAGTACCATGGACATAACAGAGTATACTGTTTCGCCCATGATACCCCCCATGCGTTGCCATTCTTGAGGACTCAGGTGTTATTCCTCTGTACCCAGTAATTTCACGCCATATCTCACCCTTCAAACCGAAACACAGCCATGCAAACACAACTGCTTCACGGTTGAAACACGAATGAGGCAGAGGTACCCAAGCAATCGATTTTTGTACAAAGTCTCCCTCTGGTATGATATATGAACTTATACAGAGAAATCTTAAAGAATTCTATAACAGTGCATCATACAAAAGAGCACAGTAATGCAACCAGCGCCGTCAACTACAGGTAAACAAAAAAACCGTTATAAACATTGAAAGTTGCTATTGAGAAAACCACGCTAATATACGTTGATTGTAAACAAAACACTTATTCAGTAACACAAAAACCTATATTACAGACAGACTTGCGACTTATGGTGAGGATAAATAGTAACGTTGTGCTCATACCTCCGCACCTTCGAAGATATTTTAAAATACTCATTTTTCTTTCGGAAATCTCATAAATATCACATTCTCATGAGGTAGAAACAGTAGCATTTCATTGTCCTGCGAACATTAATAAATACGTATGTACGTATAAACACGCAACCCACACAACGACGTCCTTTCGTTTATTTTGCGTCTGCACTGGCGTTCACACGCACATGTGAATACCGTCAGCAAAACGTATCAGATTAGTTACTTTTATATCAAGAAAAATGTGTTGCCATCGCCTTAACAAACGGAGCGTATAATTATCGATATTTATATACTAAATCATCCATAATCTCAAAATCCAAAAACTACTAAAGTATCTTCGTTTGTGGTTTCTTTGAGGGCGAATAATTACTGGTGATTGATTTGTGGAACGCACCAGCCTCTGTAGCAACCTATTGCCGAAATAACTATTGCTGTTGTGAAAGAGTACTAAGAAAGTCCGTTTTTGTGTAAAGTATACAAGAAATAAGTAATGCTGCCTACATAAGTACATATATACATCTTGATCCTCAAGAGTTGCAACTAACTTATCCGGTATAATACAAAAAGAATAAGATATCTGAATACTGAAAAATATGTATAATAATTACGTAATTTTTATTGTATACCTTAATATCACTAGTTGCTTAGATGACGTGATTCAGTACATAAAAAGTATGTTATACGCTAAGTTAGGATATAACTTTTCCGTATACCAAATATCAAATTCTTTCAACAGTTTAGAAACGAAAGAGTAATCAAATAAACATTAGAATGATGTTCACCAATCGTTTTAAATGTTCGCATTTATTACATTAAAACGATTAAAATTTATTATTATACTATTTGAATTATGTTGCTAACGCTACACACAACATGGATGCGCGGGCGCATCCGCTGCCAGAAATAGCCCGTCTTTGTCCCAAACAAGACGGAATCGAACTGAGACAGCACTGAATTCCTTTCCTTTTTCTCTCACATACAAATAAATAACATACATACTTAAATTCATTATACCGAAGACCCAATTTCCAAGGAGTAGACAATGTGTCATGATTACAATTTTTAGTATGCGGAGCAAGAAACTGTGGCATAGCAAAATCTATATACCGTAAACACGCAATTCCGCGTTCTGAATTAAAATATTTTCAGTATTATAATAGACACATTACATTGTAAATATCGTTATTCACCGGTGTGTATATTTCACGATAAGTCGCTTCTTGCAAAAAAAAAAATTGTTTGCAACTTTGTCACGTCCTGTTGTTTACGTTACTAAGATATTAAATACATTACGTGATACTAATTATTTTCGCAAAACACCAATCTGAATAGACAAATCACGTAGCAATAATTAATATTAGAAAGTACTAAGTAAAAAACTATATTCTTTAATTATGTATTGTAGTCGGTAATAACAGTGAATCATTGCATGACAAATGGTGCTACATTTCTTTATAAGTACTTATTTGTCGCGCCGTGGGAATCGAACGCGGAACGACGGAAGACGTTCATCAACGGTCGACAACGTACTACACTAATACTTACAAGTACTGGTACTAATACTATACTAAACTAAAAGTATTTTGTATATTATTTATACAAACTTAAAAAAATTTCTCCGCAAAAAATGGCGACCTCAATCGTAACATAACCCAGATTATATAATAACATAACCAAATCTGATCTAATGGATGTGAGTAAATCCTATCAAATACAAGGAAGTATTAATATTGATTCAGAATTGGAGATATACTGTAACATACAACCAAAAAATATAAATATGTTTTACTTTTACCCTTGTATTGGGGAGTATATCAGATTTTTTTATTTGAAACGGTTTTTTTGCTTAGAGGTCAAATACTGGGAGTCCCGTACTCGCTAATAACAAAATTCGAAAGGGTTTTATTACTCCTACACTAACTTTATCAAGATTATAGCCAATTTTCAGTAGAATATATACTCTTAAATTACTAAAATTGTCTTCGAAATACAAAACATATAATCTTTCATAATACCATATAACATCCGGCGTATACCGCCCC